TCAATTTCTTTAGCCTTGGCAAAAGAAAGTGAGGAATAATGGGGTCTGAAGTGAAGGACTTGACATTTTTTTATTGGCACACATTCCAAGATGCTATTTGAAACTGCCTACATGAAGTCACAGAGAATTTTTGCATTTTTCGTGGACGAGAGATGCTGCCAGTTTAGTGAGTCCACAAAATTACTAATTGAGTTAATACCAGCAAGGTCAAAAGCATGATGGGTAAGAACGGAGCAAGCCCTTTTCGTAGAGGCAAGCGGAAGACAGCAGTGGATTAATCTATGGCCACTTCGGAAGAGGTCCTGCTTATAATCAACGAAAAGGGGAGCTTTGTCGTACGTAAAAATTCGGTCTAAAATATGATTATCTCCCATTGGGGAACAGACCAACTGAGACCAGTTTGAAAAATTAATGATGTATAGGAAGGGCTGAAATCTGGATGGACAATAGTTCGAAAGCCAATCAATTTCAGGGGAAGTTGAAATCCCCAACGATAATTTTAGCGTTAAGGGCGGACTCCGAAATCAGCTTAAATATTTCGAAACCCTTTCATCATCTTCGGATGATGAGTTAGAGGGATTATAGATGCATCCGAGAATCGCCTTTTGTCGGGGTGACAGGATAATAGACGCAAAGCAGTAACTGTCGGAAAATGACGCGGCATCTACATCGAACGGGAAATGCTTGAAAATAGCTTTAATTTAGGGAAGACAACCACCGCCATCGGAAATTTGCGGATGGGTCCAAGATTCTGTAACGCACATAGCATCAGGCTTCAGCTCGAACGCAATGACTCTAAGTTGAGCCATCTAAATTATAATAGATTTTGCATTAAACATGATAATATCTAGTGCAGTTCGAGTAAGCGAACTAGGGGTATCATCATTTAGGAATTAGAATGTGGAGGTAGGTAATGTAATTGGGAGTTTGGAAAGAAGTTACCAACTGGATCAAGACGATTGGCATAAGAAGGCTGAAGGGAATATATAAAAGCTGCAGGCAGATAGTTTTGTGACATCGAAGGGTCATAGGGATTAGTGCCGTGATAAGCTTGTCGATAGTTACAGGGAAATGGTGGAACTTAGACGGAAAAAAAGAGGCTGGTGGGCGAGTCAAAGCAACTATGAGGATTAAATGATGGAAATCCTGGTCTAGTATGATGGTTAAGATAGGTAGGGTTACCCATATCTGTGTTATTTTCCTGTTGTATAGGATGAGTTTTTGCCTAAGAAGAGAGTATGCTCGGGGTTGAGTTCTGGATCACGCCATTTTGACAACATGACTTGGATGTTTTAACGGGAAGTTCGGGAATATTTCGTTCGAATAACAAAACTGTTGGTCTACCTGCCGTAAGTTCATTTACATAAATCTGAAACGTATCTTCAAATTTGATTAGTCTGCATTCTTGTTTCCTATTGGATATATTTCTCATTTAAATTATCGCATGTCAAACATCAAAGTATTTGAATAACTATTCCTATAATGTCCTGTTTTTATACATTCTAACTTATTATTTATTCTCTCCGCCCATATGATACAACCATAAAAAATCTATCACTCCCGGTCCCATTAGATCAAATCTTGCAGCTAAGGACATCCAGAGTTGCCAGCCAACTTTATTTTCCCCCCAGGAATATTACAATTCAGCAAAGCTATCCTTCGTTTGAAAGAAATATTACTAGCTTTATACATTCTGGACACCTTACAGTAATTTTAGGTACTAATCGGTAGAAGCCCTCTTCTGCTCTGATGGCGTTCACTGCCTCTGAGCCCTGTACCAGGATTCAAAATGAGAGCGATTGTGCTGACTCCTCAGCCTGCAATCGGCCAATTCTTCAGCCAAAAATGGGTGACCGTTCGCCAGCGCCCCTATATCTGGTGCAGAATACCGGCTCCATAGCGCTGAAGGGAGACTACCAAGATCGTACGCTTGTGCCAACCCTTCCCAATCTCCACTTACTACAATTTAAGCAGCTACAGTTTTTCGCGGCTAGCTCGATCACCTACTGTATATTTGTATCGACCTTGCCTGTAAGCTGGCAATAACTACAATTACAACTGCTATTTGGCTGCATGAAATGATCCCGAGGTCTCGCTACCTGTGCCTCCTTTTAACTTTGTGTGGGAGAGCGTAGGTACGCTGTGCATGCAAACCAGTTGTTGAAGGATTGTCACTTTCTGGAACGAATGCAGGCGAGGGCAACTAAGACGGTGAAGAATCTAAGCTATCTGTTGTAAGAAGCCAGATTGGTTGAAATTAAATTCATTTATCTAAAATTCAGACAAATGCATGGTCACCTAATCCAGATCTGTTGAACAATTATGGACAGTGATTTTGCCCTAGAGATCGATAAATTCTTCAATTTGGCTGGGACAGAGCACCTGTGTTATTGTAACATTTAAGCTGCAAAGTAGGATGACCCATTCGGGCGTTCGACAGAAGACGTTCTCGCAAAGGGTCGTTGAAGCCGAGAACGGACTGTCTCTTGAGATAATGTTGGAACACTCAAGGGCAGACTGGAAAAGTATTGCACATATAATCAAGATTGTGTCCGCGATCGTCGTTCGTACGGTCTCTCTCTCACACACCGATGACTGCACACTTTCCAGAGTAACTGACGTAAAAATTGATGTTACTGTTTTGTTAAATGTAAATAGGGAACAAATTATAGAGGGTCCTTTGCCGTAAATAAAGAGACCTAAAATGATTTTGCGGATTTTACTCTGTGTAGTTTCGTCACTAACAGACTTCACTTGAGGTTTCAGTACAGTTAAGGACGGGAAAACGACTAAGTTAGTATACGAGTGATCGAGAAGAAAAATGCACTAGACGTTCAGCGAGGGCAGACAGAATGAAATTAAAAGAAATGAATGTGTAACTTAGTCATTAGCCCCCAATATTCCGTTTGGAGACCTGAGTGTGTAAGCTAGGTCACCGTCTCTTCTAGTGCTCCGTATGTAACCCAATGCCAAACTTCATCTTGGGGATATTTGGCTGACTCTACAGCCCGCAAACGCCTGATTCTTCAACTGGGGGCGAAAACCCTCTCGCTGGCACACCTGTATCCGGTGCAGAATGTTGGTTCCACAACATTGAAGGGATGTAGTGATTATAGTCCTACTTCATTTCAACATGCACACACATCAACGCTCAAACTCTGGCCTCGGGCATCAGTGCGCATGTGCGCCACGACGTCAGCCTACCGAAGTCTGGTTTGACTGGTCTGACTGGTCTGACAAATCATCGCCGTGATGTTGGCTCCCACAAAGGCCGCTCTGGGCGCCTGTTACAATACTCGCACTGATTTAACATTAGATTCCACCCCGCCAGGGAGAAAATGTATGCAGTGTTGTCGCGATAACATAAATAAATAAATTTTATATTTTAGGCCAGAAGGGCCTCATCATTGCACCTCGGAGGCCGACGCTCACGGTTGGACGCTTGCCAATCTAAGTGTCAAATTTCTCCTACCTCTTTCCCTACGCCTTCTATAGAAACTAAATTGTTCCTACCACCCTGGCCTCCCAACTTCTTGTCTTCTTCTAAGGAATAAGGTCTGCAGGGCGCACTGGCAAGGGTTAAACCTCTCGCGATAGGGAAACTGAAAACACCATGCACATAGTCAATGCCGTGCACATACGCAATACTAGTCACAAAACTGCTCTACCTGAGTGTCTCTACGATGGCGAATGAGTACGTTTACCTTGCCTTATCTTTTTGTTTTTAGCTTTGGTAGGGTCGGCCGAAAAAAATAGCAGATAATACCAACATCTGCCGTGTGATGTTATCAAATTTGTACCTGCTACATCACTGAATGAAGCAACTAAAATAAATAAGAGCAAAGTAAGCAGTAAAGCGTTCGTGCTGCCGCACAACCTATTCAGACACTCATAGAAACAAACAATGTTTATAATTTTTTCGGTCTTTTCGGCTGGTCGGCTTGGCGTTTTTGGTCCGTCTGCCATCTTCGCCAGTCGTCCTTGTTCCTCTTGGAAGATTTTCTATCTATTTATCGGTTTCAAGACTTTGATCCAAATTTATGGTTCTGCTTCCTTCTGCCATATTTCCGCTCCACTGTGCGCCTTACCGAAGGTGTTTATTTCTTTACGGCTAACAAGAAATCGTGGCCAGTGTCCGTTTATGCTACACTCCTAAATTCCCAAATGTTACAACTGATTCTGCGTAGTTATTACATTTGTAAGTATATGCAGGAAGTTTCACCGTCAGTTTTATTTCAGCGGAATTTGAAGACATGAATTTGGCTAATCCACTACTAGGTTCTCTCATAGTCCTGTTGTCGTAATTTATTTTGCCCATTTCTGGAATCGTCGACTTCCCAAATTGTAGGTTCATGTAGGATTGTGCCATAGAATTTCGGAATATTCTTGTCCTGACTTAGTGATCTCGAAAACCTAATTTCGATTCATTCATGAATCTGAAATGTTAAAGTGAAGTAGTTCATCTGGCGGGGTGTACAAGGACAAACGTGACTTTCGATGTCCTGGCTCTTCGGGTACTCTCGGCCCCAACCATCCGGAAATGCACCTCCCGGTGATGGAATGGGTCTCCCTCAACCACCCCCACCGAAGGAGGATAAGAAAAAAATGGAAGAAGCTATTTCTGGATTTCGATTTGATTCAGCTGCCCTCGAAAGAGCAGCAAAAGCGGCCAAGGAACTAGAAGCCTCAAGTAACCTCAGTTTACCACTTTACACTCTGAAGAATATGCAAAAGAAGCCCTTCAGCTCTCAGAACTCCAAGAAAAGACGCAACAAATGGAATACCAGACTAAAATTAAGGAGTATGAAGCCGCTATTGAGCAATTAAAAATTCAACAGACGCAAGCC